ATCCATAAATCTTGCTTTTCTTAAATGACAGCGGTCTGTAAATAATCGAGTCTGGACCAAACAAACCAGTGACGTCACGAGCATCGATCTACACAGTTGGGATTCGATGATATGTGTCAATCAAGTCAGCAAGCCTGACCACCCGATCCCGTTAACCACCTCTAACCCGGATCTTCACTGGAAGGCTACGTAGATTGTCGTTTGAAGTGACGACCTCATTATCAACCCATTTAATCCTGTGTCAAGCATTTTTGGTTTTGACCAAGCGGCTTAACGGTAATTACTACAGTTTCATAACAAATCTAATACTGCTCACTCACATCAAGTCACATAGCCAACAGTTCTATGAGCCGATCATCTCCGCAAACAACGAACCTTGTTTGATATTACTAAGCTAGATTTCACTGTTGAATGCAGGTGTTTCTAAGTGGGTGATGTTTGTGGTAAGCCTTTCATCAACAATGTTTGGATCTTATATTTCATCAAATCAATCTCGGTCCGTGGTCGGATCACCACTTAAACATTTTGTATGTTTACTTTACTTGCATACTAGCAATGTGGGTTTTTTTCAACGCTGAATTTAAATAGTAGGCCAAAATAACAGTTTGTAACGAGGACTGCTTTGATATTCTACATAAACACAACCGTAAATATCTAAGGTGACCTTTTTTAAAATAAAAAAGATTAACCGTCGACATATTCAATAAACCCTCATACCCGGCCGGCCAATTCTTCCAGCTGTCTGGGTCCCCACGGTACACATCCAAGACGCATCCACCCCCTCATTACAAGGCTTTCAGGAAATAACGGAACTCTAAAAACGTCCAGACGTTCCAGCACTTCCTCACTTACACCGCCCCTAACTAAACCTTACTGACAACAACTATTTTTGTGTCATGGTTCGGCCTATATGGTAATTACGATGAATGTCCAAGCAGTGTTAAAATGAAAAGAAAAAACGAGTGGGAGTATTAGCAATGTTGCAGCAATATCGCGGTGCCTGACACGAGTCAGCGCTGTATATATCTGCTTTTGTCTTCACGCCCTGGAACTGACCTGATGGAGATACGGTGAGGGAGCATGCACGTCTACGTCATTACTACGTCACACACTATACATGGCTCGGTGTGATGAATACGTTGGTAAAATGAACACAACGCTGATGAAACAGGCCTTTGAAGATCAACTTTTGGACACAATTAGAGTCTTCTACAAATGTCAGAACGTCGTCAACGTCACAGTGCCAGTGGTGAGAGGTGTTAGCAGAAGTAAGTTCCTGTTACTCAATGTCCACATAAGTGTACCACGTGACAACATCACGGTATTAGCGGTATTAGCGGCGTCTCCATAGAAGCTAAAACAAGCTCTACTTATACCTTGAGAATATGTACGTGAATACTTAAAACTAAAACGCCAGTTTCCTGGTTCTACCTGGACCTTAAATTACAGCTTTTGACAAATGCAATCCTACGTCCTTTACACACACACACACACACACGCACGCACGCACGCACGCACGCACGCACGCACGCACACACACACTCACTCAGAGGGAAACGCACAGACGGAAAAAAAAAAGATACATAGATAGATAGAAATATAGATGTGATTGTTTCAATCAACATTCAATAGTTGAAATGGGAATTCAGAATCATGAATTTCAACTGTGGTGAATAAGAAGCAGCCTGAACTATTACAACACATTTTGAAGTATATTTGACACCACTTCGTGAAGTGGTAATAATGATATAAAAAAACATGAAATAGATAGCATGATATGTGATTGTATTAATCTCTCACTGTTGAAGACGTAGGGCCAGCTATCAGTGTTTGTGAGTAGCATCTCGGGTGCGGCACGGACCACTGAGCAGTGTGTTAATTTGTCACTGTTGAAGTAGTAGGGCCAGCTATCAGTGTTTGTGAGTAGCATCTCGGGTGCGGCACGGAACACTGAGCAGTGTGTAGTAGACACATCACGATGTTAGGGTACAGATCACAATCTGTGACAGGCACTTACACAAGAGGAACAAGAGACAATCTTGTTTTCCATCTCAGGATTTCTTAATGGTTACTGAAGCAACGGTCGTGATTCAGAACCATGTACAACGCTGGATGGCCCTGATGAACAAGCACTGACCAAGGTTTGCCCCAATTATAATGGGTTGACCCAAAGCGTCTAGGTAGCTTCATCAGTAAAGCTAATCATTTAGATTGGTTTTCAATAATGAAATAAAATATTTAAGTGAAAATAACTTTCTTGTCGGTTTCATGTATAACTTAGAAAAGTTACAATTAAAGCGTTGTCAAGTCATAATAAAATAACAATAACAATAAAATACACGATTACCTCTGACAGTCGTGTTTTCAGAAATATGTAATTTATTTGTTTCTTCTTCTCCAGGAAGCCATTTTGTATTATGTCTGAAAATTGTTTTATTTTGGGCACTTGTTCTAAGTTATCCATTGATTAACACTAGTTAAATCTGTTTGAAATGAACCCAATCATCTTGCCAGAAATGTGGGACCTGTTCATTCAGGTCCCTCAGATTTTACTTTGGAAGGAAGTACTGCGTGTTTAGTAGTAGTTTAGCGACGCGTTGAAATATTCCAGCTACGATGGCTTGAAAGAAATCAATCAGATTCCATTTGTGTATATGCTCATAGGCAGCGTTGCGCCTGTTATTGTAATATATATTATAATAATCACACTATTCAACTCCATATTGTTTACAAACATTTCGTTGTGAATATCATATTACTTTCAACAGAAGCTATAAATCAAAGATAAGACCGCAGTAACAGATCCTGAATCTATGGACATATTTCTCTGGAGCAATTTAGAAAGCCAGGTGTGTTTTCACGATAAGCGCGTTGACAGACTTGAAGAGAGTAATGTAGATACCTGTTCGTGGATTGCATGCAGGACAAACAAATCAGGATGACTTTGGGAAAGCCGTGGTTAAATCGTTCTCATTTCTCAACTCTTGCAATGAACCTCCTGAGTTTAGGACCGTGACGCGGCGTGGATCGATGCTGACATTATCCATCACTGGTTTAATTAGTTCCTGCAGACTACACTTCCGGTCGCCGTGATGTAACTGCGATATGAAGATCATCCCTATATGCTTACTACCTTTCATTACGAACATTTTTCATGGCAACATTCATGTGTATTACGAAACGTGACAGATCCTTCTACTTAAGCATGCAAATAGCATGCATTTCAGTCTTTAATGTGTCTCGGAACCCCTGTCCATGCAATACAGGAAACAACAGACTAGAAACAGACAACATACGGGACAAGCTTACGTCAGTGACTTATGTAATTAGGTACTTTCTGATAGCGTCCGGCATCGAGTGGACTAATTGCCATATCTCTTAACATGCATTAGGATTGATCTTAAACAAATAATAGAAGGGGTGTGAAGTACCTACTAAGTGAATCAGTATGATGTGAGATCTCTGGCGAGTTTACCGACATAGAATCTCGCCGGTACATAGCACTCACGTCATCCAGCAGAAACCATTAGACAACAAACACAATTAAACACAGCATCACAACATGCGACTATTGACTTGGCTGGCTTCGAGTTCAGTATGTGTTCATGTGTTAAAGGACGCATCTTATTCTGTGCTGGGTGAAAGCCTGGATGATGGGGTTTTTCACAGTATGACTTTAGCAATGGCTTGTTGGAGGCAAAAGATGAATGAAGTTTTAAATGTTACGTTTTTTTATCTTACTGTCTGACTTTCGGAGAGCGTGTGGGGAGGCCGTTCTTCAAAAGCTATCACAGTGGATAAGCCATGTTAGAGACGTTATGTGCTGAGCATGATGGCCTGAGGTCCGTCCACCCAGCAGACTCATACATCATGCCAGCGGCCATGTCAGATTTACTGCGGTGACCACAATCCCCTAAAACCCATTGACTTGTTCTTTCGTGGTATAAGAGATTAATCCATCCTTGACTACATGCACTACGCTGAGGCGAGTTACTACTACAGTGAATGGACTGCGAGCACATAGAGAGAGTTTATTTAGAGGACAGCTATTCCGTTTGGTTGTTCTGTTTCGTAAAAGCCACGTTGGAAAAGCTTTCAGAGGTTGTGCAATTATGGGGACGACAGAGTAATGATAGCATTTTAAAATAACCTTCCGTTTATGATTACAATAAATACACCTGTTTGAGTCTTACACAGTACTATATTAGATTTTAAAATGATGATTTCTAAAGTTGATCAAGGCAGGTTTCAAACCAAAGGTAATTCTTGAAAGCTTTTAATCTAAATTTGACATATCACTGGAATTTGATCATACTTAATAGCCAGCCCATGTCGAACGGGATTCCCCTTATACACGATAATGACTAGTTGACAGGTACCGACGGATGCTCTAGCATAGACTTTTCTCTGAAATAAAAAGTATCCGACTGACACTAACCCCGCAATACAGGACCACTGGAAAGCGCAATGTACATGATATTCATATGCTTATGGCCACTCATTCTACCTTCGTTCATAGCACATTACAATAACATTACTTGAGCCAGGTTAATTGGTAGGATATAGTTCTGGACAGCAGTTTCCTCCTTGGGAAATCATAAATGATGTTTGCTTAAACTGGCCGCAGTACTCTATGCTTGAGAACGTACGTTCCTCTACCGTAGCTCTCGGCAAAGAACATCAAATGACCTAATTCCGGTTTAGAACCCCCAGGCGGGCCGCAGTGTATATACCGGAAGCGGAAGTTCTACAGTGATAAAATGTCTTTGTCAGTGATTTTGGAAGGTGTTAATTACAGGGGAACTTTTGGTTTTCTTGTTCCTCTTTGGTGGTGTTTGGGGAAAAGGCTTACGGAATATTTCCTTATACAATATATACATTTTGAGGTAGAACAAGCGTGTTTTATGTAAAAGTTCTGCTAGATCTATGGATCTGTGATACATGTTATATGTACAATGTTGCTGTATAATGTGCCAAAAAACAAACGAAAATGTACTCACTGAGGAAGTGGACAAGCAGCCCAACGACGACAGCGACGATGGCGACGGCGAGAATGACGAAGGCGATAATCCATATGTGACGTCGTCGGCTAGATTTTGGTGATTTGAAGGTGATCTGTTCATGAGGCTGGGGGGGTCGGCAGTGCATATAGTCCTTGGCACGTGCAGCCTGCGCCTTCTGGTCCGCGGCGGAGGGGGGTGGGGTTTTATTACCCCGACACCCCTTACCATCGTTCTCCTCAAACAGTGGGTTGTCGTAACAGGCCTGAAGTAGAGTAACATGTTCATCACCCGAGCGCCTATGTAGCACCTTTAAGGGAATATCCCGAATAAAGTGAGTCGCCATTCCTGGCAGATGGGGCATCAAGCCGCCGAAGAAACTGTTTTAGACCTAGTTTGAAAATTTCCACAAGCTATATTCCAGTAGAGATCATTCCTCACACTTTTTGGCAAATTAACACCAATCAGCTCACGAACTATCGCGCCTCGGCGTTCTGAAGACTTCTCCTAAGGAATATTGACTAAGATCCAACGCCTAACAAGTCAAACAGAGCAGACGACACGCCGCCCCGTCGCCAGGTGGAAGCGAACGTTCCGTCACTGGACTATCGTCAAGCACGACTGACTACTATCTCTCTCCCTCCCTCTCTCTCCCTCTTTCACTCTCTCTTTCTCTCTCGCACCCTCTGATGTAGGCAGGTGTGCTTGACGCCCCGTGGGACTGATCGTGTCGGAGACGAGAGCCTGGGTTGAGGGTGTTACGGGCCGGAGTGAGGGCGGGAGCCGTGAGTTAGGAGACAGGCTGACAGTCGATCGGAATTGTCTCTTTCCCCCTCTCTCTCTCTCCGTCCGCCGCTCGGGGGAGACTAGCTATCGATGGGAGTGTAATTCTTCCAGGCTAGATTGTCTCAGCGTATTTTCATTTGCACAGCTATTAAGTTGGGCCGATGGTGCATATATACGGCACTGTTGAACAGTTCGTCCATGTAGAAAATGTCTCGTTTCGTTCCAGCCTGCCAACATTGACATTAATCTACATATCGTAAATATGGAAATATGAATTCTACAATAGTGGCTTGATGAAGGCAGAGATTGTTATCTAACCGTATTCATCGAGAGAGCATGATCAATGACAGGATGAAGGTTTGATGAGAGCGCGGATGCCCACTGTCATGGCCCCGGATGGTATTATTCCGACCTGGGTTAATAACACGTTCACATCGGCAGCGGGGACAAGCTCCATACGGCAACACTGGTACTGGCGTAGATCAACGGAACTATGGGGGCGGGGAGGGAAGGAAAATGGGGAGGGGGGCCTTTTAAGACGAACTTAGGGTAGTAGGTGAGGCGAAGGGTCCTGAAGCCATATACGAAGTAGAGATGTCTGCCGTCCGACTGATGGGGACACAGCAAGTTACTTTGGGCACACAAGTTACTTTGGGCAAAGCAAGTTACTTTACTACCCGACTCTACTGGTCTGCCTTACAGTTTGGAGCCAATACACAGTATTGCAAGCCTAATCACATCGGTAGTCATAACCGCATTAATGCTTCTTGAATAGTACTCTTATATATACGTTATTGACTAAACGTTCATCAAATTATTCTGTAATTATTTCAAAAAACGTTTTATACAGTAGGTCTTTCAAAAGATATCAATCATCTTGGGATTGACAAGAAGTGGGAATAATCTCATATTTTGATAAGACTAGTTATAGAATATTAAAGACAAATTTCTCACATTATTTACAGCATCATTAAGTATGAAAACGTCGCACACGAAGGACAGGGCTGTAACTGTAATACCGGTATGAAGACGTCACAGCATGGACCCTATATCACTACAGTTAGATGCTTATGACCTCTTTCCCATAGAGGGCAGTCGGGTAGCCTCATGGTTAAGCGTTCGTTCCTCACACTGAAGACCCGGGTTCGATTCCCCACATAGGTACAATGTATGAAGCCCCTTTCTGATGATATAGCTAGAATATTGCTAAAAGCGGGGTAAAACCATTCTTACTCAATCATTCACTCACTTTCACAAAAGCGTGCTACTTTTTATTCTTGGATGGATTGAGAGCCCAATACTTCCGATTATTTGACAATGCGCGTTATGTGGTTGAATTTGTGGGGAATGGTCAGCACAGTATCCATTGCATAACAGGGTGCCGTGTTGTTGAGATACGAGTTAATTGAAAACAGATCTTCCTTGTATTTATTGTAAACCTTTACCTTTTCCTTCTATTTTATTTTAACTTGTGGCTATGTCTGACATCTCTCTCAAAGTGCCCCGAGCGTTATGGGTCAGTGACAAGTGTTGAGCTTTGACTGTGAGCGAGTCCGACCTGTGAGAAATTGTATGCTATGTTTATTCATTACATCGCATTGATTCTCCGGCGGCGGTGAAGACTTTCCGACATCTCGGGTATCCTTCCAGACTAGCGCACACGGTGTTACATAACGTCACCGTGCCCACCTCCCACTGGGTCGTTACACTGCATATCTCCCTGATCCCTGACTCTGTTTAATAACTTCACTCTCCCACCTCCCTGGTGCCGCTATGTAACATCTGTACCCCGACCTCACTCGTGCCGCTACATACCACCTCTCTCCCACCTCCCTGGTGCCGCTATATAACATCGCTATCTCCCCCACCCTCCTAGCTCTCAATACCCCTCGCCTTACCTCCTTGGCGTTGCTATATAACATCTCTCTCCCACCCCCTTGATACCGCTTTGTAACACGTTTATCCCATCTCACAGATGCCGCTATAGAACATGTATCTCCCACCCCCCAGATACCGCTTTGTAACACGTTTATCCCACCTCATAGATGCCGCTATATAACACGTTTATCCCACCTCATAGATGCCGCTATAGAACATGTATCTCCCATCCCCCCAGATACCGCTTTGTAACACGTTTATCCCACCTCACAGATGCCGCTATATAACACGTTTATCCCACCTCATAGATGCCGCTATAGAACATGTATCTCCCACCCCCCAGATACCGCTTTGTAACACGTTTATCCCACCTCATAGATGCCGCTATATAACATGTTTACCCCACCTCACAGATGCCGTTATATAAGACGTTTATCCCACCTCACAGATGCCGCTATATAACACGTTTACCCCACCTCACATATGCCGTTATATAACACGTTTTCCCACCTCACAGATGCCGCTATATAACATGTTTATCCCACCCTCCAGATAACGCTATATAACACGTTTATCCCACCTCATAGATGCCGCTATAGAACATGTTTATCCCACCTCATAGATGCCGCTATAGAACATGTATCTCCCACCCCCCAGATACCGCTTTGTAACACGTTTATCCCACCTCATAGATGCCGCTATATAACATGTTTATCCCACCTCATAGATGCCGCTATAGAACATGTATCTCCCACCCCCCAGATACCGCTTTGTAACACGTTTATCCCACCTCATAGATGCCGCTATATAACATGTTTACCCCACCTCACAGATGCCGTTATATAAGACGTTTATCCCACCTCACAGATGCCGCTATATAACACGTTTACCCCACCTCACAGATGCCGTTATATAACACGTTTTCCCACCTCACAGATGCCGCTATATAACACGCTTATCCTACGTCATAGATGCCGCTATATAAGATATTTATCCCGCCTCACAGATGCCGCTATATCACATATGACATGGTTCTCCTGTGACCTGTTTCAGAAGTTGATGACTTATAAGAAAGGTATGATACTTTATGGATAACAATTTCTATATTATACATAATATAACATCAACTTTTTTTTATTATATACTCATGCCAATAATGGTTGTCACCCCCTTCAATTTTTTAATTTGTGAGGGGGTGTGGGATGAGGTGTGTGTTGGGTTGGGGTGGGGAGGGGGGTGACTACCATTATTGGCATGAGTATACATAACATAATTTTTTTTAAAGTTGTTATCCATAAAAGTATCATACCTGTCTTATTAGTCATCAGTTTCTAAAATGCCACCCGCTTTCCCGGTGCCGCTATATAACATGTCTCGCCCACACCCTTGGTGCCTTCGATACGGTCATGTTTTTTGCAAAGGATATCAAGGTAATGTAGTATTTTTCTTTAGAGTATATATAAGTATATAAAATGTTACAGATAGTGTAGCAGCTGGCTCGGAGAAAGCCCGTCCTTTCTATGAAAAGTGTGGCGTACGACAAGGTTGTGTGTGAAGTCCAGAACTATTTAACTTCTTAGTTAATATATCAGTATTTGTCATGCATGACAGCTGACATGGAGGTGTATTATTAAACCAGTCAAAACAAAAGTAGATATGAAGGACACAGTGTCAACCTCCAAAGACAATTAAATATTTTGAGTGATTTTTAAAGCAGGTGTGTAGAGTTTTGTTGTGTCCCGCAATGGAGGTATTTCTCTACGGAAGATCCATGTATGGTGTGATGATGTTGTGTCAGTTAGTAAGCATCTGCGTTGAATAGGCATTAAGTGTCTGAGTGGTTACACAAAACGTGGCATTCAGCATTAGTCAGGACTAGTACAAGCACGCACACCCACACGTATACGCTTGCACACACGCACACACACGCACCAAATATCACAGACCGACAGGGGAGCAAAATAAGAAGTTCACCCTTTGTTCTCAGGGATTATCGCGCTCCACTGATCTAGAAGCTTTAAACAATAGGTACCGGACAAGTGGGAAGACCCCACGAACACACACATGCGTGTCTGTATAAAAGAGCCACAATCTCACCTCACCTCACCTCACCTTATCTCATCTCATCTCACCTCAGCTATATAAAAACATCAGCATGTGCTTCTTTTCAAGTATTCAATGTGCGACAGGATATTTCAAAAACATTAGATATGAAGGTTTTAAGGGCAATCGAAAATGTGTGAGTTGGTTACATGACTCCAACTAAAGTAACAGCATCACCAACGATGGCGTTGATCAAACGTAAATCGTTGATCGTATAAACACATAGCAATTCGAAAATAAAATGAAATTTCGCATGTCTTACTTTCATTGTTAACCCTGCTCAACATTCAAAAGGACTTCTATGGACCGTGTGTTGGTTGTGCACACAGTGTATTGTGATATTAAAAACGTTTAAAACCATTAATTATAGTCATTATCATTTAGTCAAAATGTGACAAAACCTCAAAATAATTGGTACAGAAATGATTTGAGTGTTTTCAACATGTTTAAGTTATAACTAATGAGTATTAAAAAGTCCTCCCTTGAAATATGATGCTAAGTCCTATTTTGGGGCGTAAAAAGTTTAAACATTGGAATCTTCAGTAAATAAATTTTAAAATCTCATATTGAGACACAAGT